GCAAACCTTTTATAATTAATTAATAAATGTTTATTCTATGGTAAGCTTTCAGAGTGCAGTAGGAAGAACATGACAGGGAGACAACTGACCAAGAGAACAAAGCGTAGGTGTTTGAGAAGAGGTGCCAGGAAAACACAAATACACACACATTGTACTCATGTGTTCCACAGAGCAGTTTCCCTCAGGACTGAATTACATGCTACATTTTTATGCATTCAGCACGGACACTGTATATGATATATGCTGGTGACACTGGCTGGGGGGGGGGGGGTTTGTTTCAGAGTATTCATGTGCACTCACATGCCCTCACACTTGAAGACCGGAACATCAAGACAGAATAATAAGAGAGAACTATAAGATTCAGTTAGGCCACCATGTTTTTGCACATTTGCTGCATTTAGACATTATACTATCACTTTCTGGCATTCTCCTACATCTGAAGAAGAAGAAGAGATTGGATTTATACCCTGCCCTTCACTCAGAGTCTCAGAGTGGCTTACAAATTCTTTTCCCTTCCCTGCCCCACAACAGACACCCTGTGAGGTAGGTGGGGCTGAGAGAGCTCTTTCCAGAGCTGTCCTTGTGAGGACAGCTCTGACAGAACTATGGTTTGCCCAAGGTCATCCAGCAGCTGCAAGTGGAGGAGTGGGGAATGAAACCCAGTTCTCGCAGATTAAAGTCCACACACTTAACCACTACACCAAACAGTCCTTTAGAGGTTTCAGCAGATGGCAGAGCCAATAGGAAGATTGTGTAATTTTGTAAGAATATGGCCTAGTCCTGCTTCTAAAACTAGATGCTATCTGTACCCTTTCCATTACAAAGCAGGGTTAAAACCATGCACATTGTAATCTAAATCTTTCATAGCTGTTCACTGCAGCATTTAAATGGTGGCTCAAGTAGTTAAGATGCTGAACTGCAGGCTGTGGAAGACCCAAGTGTGCCGCATGACGGAGTGAGGTCCCATCTCTGGCCCCAGCTCCTGCCAACCTAGCAGTTCAAAAGCAAGAAATTACAAGTAGATAAATAGGTACCACTTCAGTGGGAAGGTAACAGCATTCCGTGCGCCTTGGTTTTAGTCATGCCGGCCACATGACCACAGAAATGTCTTCCGATAGCGCTGGCTCTTCAGCTTTGAAACGGAGATGAGCACCGCAACCCTGGAGTCGGATTCGACTGGCTTTCGAGCAAGGGAACCTTTACCTTTACCTTTTACCCAAGAGTTCTGGATGAGACCAAGTTGATCTTATCTTATTGACACTTTTAATAACTATTCCCAACCACAGGAAGGCAGTGCTTGTCCTGAGCCTTTGTGCATGAAAATCATCCAATTAATTGATTAATCCTTAGGGCCAGATTTCCGCAACTCATGTGATAATTCCAATGGTTACATGATGTTTTGGTTGGGTGCAGAATGAAAGCTCACCCTGGAGCAGACTCAGAATATGTGATAGATGATATGAATGTATTTAGATGGTAAAGATGAACAATCTCCAGATGTATCTAATCTACAGGACATACAAGTATAAATAATGCTAGAGGACCAACTGGATTGGCAACTTAAGGCTCAAAATCAGTCCATGTGTAACTGCCAGTTGATCTACCACAGGCCTATGGCTTGAACAGGAGCCGCCCAGGGAAGGAAAATGGTCAGAAAAACCTCAAGCATTATCTCCACGTTGCTTCTCTGGGGCTTTCATTTCTGACAATAGCAGAGGAAAAGTGCAAGAGCAAACAGGCCTCCCTCATCTATGTGATGTGCCTCAATCAGTCCGTTGATTAATTTCTACTGAACGTCCCCTGGAATAAAATTCATCTACCCTACAAATTATAGCCAGTTTGGTGTAGTGGTTAAGTGCGCAGACTCTAATCTGGGAGAACCGGGTTTGATTCCCCACTCCTCCACTTGCACCTGCTGGATTACCTTGGGCAAGCCATAGTTCTGGCACAGCTGTTCTTGAAAAAAGAGCAGTTTCTGTCAGAGCTCTCTCAGCCCCACCTACCTCACAGGGTGTCTGTTGTGGGGAAGGGAAGGGAAAGGAGTTTGTAAGCCGCTCTGAGACTCCCTTGGGTAGTGAAGGGCAGGGTATAAATCCAATCTCTTCTTCTTCTATATGACTTACTCAGCAAAACATAATGGACCCTCCCATCAGTTTTATGTGTCAGTACATTGGCACAGTTAAAACCCTAGAAGAGTCAGCTTTGTTATTTAAACAAACCCTAAGAATGATTTCAGAGCGAATATTTAGGTATGGCGATTAAGGTGTGTATCTGCACAATGGCTTCCCATGCGATCCATTTAGCAAGCTCATGGAAACACAGAATTATTGATTTATTTTTAAAAGTTTGTATCCTGCTTTCTTCTTAGGAGCCCAAGGCAGCTAATAAAACATTAAATTAAAAACATGATACATATAATCCTGTTGAATACATCAAAAAATGTCACAAAGAGCTAATTCAAAAGTCATCTGAAACAAAAGGAGGGAGGGTCTTAACAGACCTCCTGGGAGTCAGTAGCAATGGAATCTTAGGGAAATTCCAGAGGCAGTCATTCCACAGCGGTGCAGCTGCTACAGAAAAGGCACGTGAGAAATTTGTGGCCAACCAAGGTGCTCTAAATGAACGTACCACTAACAGGTTTTGATCTGCAGAACATAGATGCCTCATCGGTTCATACTAAGGGGAGATGGTCCATTAAATATGTGGCTCCCAGATCATGAAGGACTTTAAAGATAAGAATCAAAACCTTTAACTGACTCTGGAAGCAAACAGGAAGTCAGTGGAGCTGCTTTTAAAACATATCAACAGGTGGGCCACATTTTGAGCTAGCTAAAGCTTCTGGGTTGTCTTCAAGGGAAGGCCCACAGAGTGTGTTACACTAGTTCAGTCTGTAGGTTACAGCAGTATGGGTCAGCACAGCACTTACTGGCCTTATTTGGGAGGGTTGATAACCTACAGATCTGATATAGATGCAACCTGTTTTTCTAATAAGAGAACAGGGTCTAAAAGACTCCTAATCTCTTAACAGAGTATACTAACAATAACTTCATACCACTGAGGGAAAGCATCCCCTCCAAGGTCTCTTACTTCCCTACCAGCATCACTTTCGTCTTGTTTGGATTTGGATTCGGTCTCCACCTACCCCACCCTACCCACTAGACCACAGCAACCAGGCACTGCCTAAGAAAGGAAATTGCAGCTTCCGGAATTAGTCAAAGACTATCAACATATTGATGACATCCAAATGTAGGGTTGCCAGCAAGGGTGTAGACTTTCCAATTTCCCGGGGGGGGCTGGGGCTGGGCCAGAGGCATTGCTTTGCTAGGAGCAAGGGTGGCTCCCGGGGGAGGCTGAGCACCTTCCTGAAAATTTCGGCGGGGGCTGAAGCCCCGCCGCCCCCACGAAGATTACGCCTATGGTTGCCAGCCTCCAGGTGTTGGCTGGAGATTTCCTGGGATGACAACTGATCTCCAGGCAAGAGACCAGTTCACCTGGAGAAAACCACCACTTTACATTCCGTCCCCTCCCCAAACCCCGCCCTCCTCAGGCTCCACCTCCAAAATCTCAAGGTATTTCCCATCCGGGAGCCGGCAACCCTACCCAATGTAAAGCTCTTGGATGATCTCGTGCAACAAGTGGACATAAATACTGAAATGTATAGTGGGCAAGAGATTCCTGCAGTATTCCACACTCTAAATCCCAGGCAGGCTTAGTTTCTTTTACCAGCCTCTTCATTCATTGTAACAGAACAGCATGATCTGCTGTACCAAAGGCAGAAGACAGATGTAATAAGATCAGCAATTCTGATCAGCCTTTATCCAGTTGTAAATGGAGATCAGCCACCAGAACAACTAAAGCAATCTCCATTTTACAGCCAGGTGTCAAGTCAGGGAAATGTCCTGGGTACATGTTCATCTATGTTCATTTAGGTATGTCCCCACTGACTTGCCTAAAAGGTGGAGAGTCAAACCAGGCCTCTGAACGGCCAGATTACCTTTGGCCAATCATGGTTTCTTCAGTAAAGGTCACACCACAGCTTCCTTTAAAACAGAAGGATTTCCCTTTAGGGAAGGGGAATTCCCAGTAGTCCCCCCCTAGTTTCTCCAGTTGAAATGGCTTAACCAGCCATGAGGGATAAGGACCTGTTTTGCCCTCATATCCCCAAGCACCCTGTCTACCATAGTCAGAGAGATCAACCCCAAAAGATCCCTAGGGGCCACTGACCTTTGCAGCGTTCCTTTCCTTCCACCCAGCTAAGCCCGCGCACGTCTAGGGTCGGGGTTATCCCTTGAACAGGTCTAATGGCCATCTATAGCAACCGTCCGCAACTGGAAGAAGCCAATACAGTTGCGAAAGACCGCTACAGCACTACGGAATCACATGCAACTGGTGTGTGGCTGCAGTTCACCCCACTACGGCACAATCACCCGCTAGGTGTTTACTCGGAAGGAAGCCCCAAAGAGCTCCCCGAGACTTTCTCCGCAGGCAGCGTGCGCCACCCGGCAGGAGTGCGCGCCTCCAACCGCCCGAAGCCCAGCGCTCGCCGCTCTCCCCAGGCGCGCTTCTTAGCGCTTTAAGAGAGGGCTGCTCTTTCTAAGCCCGCCTCTAACCTCCGCGGCCGCCTCCTCCAGATCCCGTCCTAATTGGCTGACCAGGGTATGAATATGTATGTCCTGACCTGTGGGGCGAGGTTTGTAGTGTGAATGAGCCGCCGTCCCGTCCCCTCCCTGGCTTCTTCGGCGCAGAGGGCTCGGTGTGCGTGCGGGTCCCTCAGCCGCAGTCTTCGCCGCTGGCAGCCTCCTCTCGCTTCCCGGGAGCCGGCGCTGTCCTGCCGCCCGTACCCAGCGGGGCTCCCTGTCCCCTTCGGCCCGAGTCCTTGAATCCCGCCTAGCGTGCGGCTCCCCGGCCAGCCCCGTTTCCACGTTTCCCTCCTGCCACACGTGCCACCCCCTGGTCGTCGTCGTCGTCGTCTGCCCCGTGGTTCGGCGCCCGCAGGGGAGATGCGAGGCCCGTCCGGCTGGATGGTGCTGCTGGCGCTCGGCAGCTGGCTCCGGCTGCGGGCGAAGGGCGCCGTGCCTCTGGCTGACTTCTACTCCTTCGGGCCGGCACAGGGAGACGCGGCCACCCCGCAGCAGGACGACGGCGGCTCTGGGCTCCGGCCCATCGCCGTGAAGTTCCCCTTCTTCGGCGCGGCTCACACGGCGCTCTACGTGAGTAGTTGCCCGCCGCCGGGCTACAGGGACGCGAGGGCACTCCGAGTCCGCGCGGGCTTTCGGCTTCCCTGCGGTCGCTTAACGCGGGGTAGTTACCCCGGGATGCTCTGTGCGCATATTCCCCCACCCCACCCCCAATGCCTAAAGTTGGAATGGCACCCTTGCGTAGCAGTCAAAGGAGAGACTTATTATTTGGCCACCCGAGCTTGCGTGAATTGCTGCCACGAAGCGGCGCCTGTCAACCTGGTTGTACCGGGTCAGATGTTACTTCCTCCGTATGACTGGGAAGGGAACGCTCCACGGTTAATCGCTTGAAAACGGCACCCTGAGCATGTTCGCTCAGAAGTAAATCCCATCAGTTCTGTAGACGTTAGAATTGCAACCCCACAAGAGTGTCTGAACTGCCCCAAAGGCAGTCTAAAAGATGCTATTGGCTTTTTGACCCTCTAGCTATAATATAGCTTCTGCATTGTACATAGCCGGCATAACAGGAGATGCTGGAGGATGAGTTCAGTCCCTTTCGCTGTATTAACATGAACAGAGACTCATAATAAATCTTGGATCCTGTATCGTTTGTACTGGTAGCTAATGCCAATGAACCAAGGAGTTCACTGCAGCAGAAGGGACTGGTTTGTTTGTAAACATATATCCACAAGCATGCATGCACATGCACAGATTTCTCAGTGTTCCTCTGCTGAGGGAGTGTTTGTCTTCAGCCATTAAACATCATGCAGAGATCCTGGCGATAGAGTTATATAGTCAATTTAATACAATGAGGAAGCATGATAGTGCTGTTTTCTAGCCAGTTGAGCATCCTAGCCAGCTACAGTCACCAAAAGAGTCAGGGTGTTACTAACCGCAAGTGATCAACCTCCAGATGATTCTACAGAATCACAAGATGGTCTTTAAAAACAAGATCTGGAAAGACAATATGTTTACCAGCTGTTTTATGGTCCTTTCAAACATGTTGAAATGCCCCCCCCCCCCAGTCATGGGAAACCTCCTTTCCCCCTCCATAGCAGATTGTAATGAGCAAGTATGTCACTTAACTGCCTTGGAAATCACAGAGTCACACACAACCAGAAGTTGTGAAACCAAAATACAATTTTTATTAGCCTGAGCACATCTGAATGATCAAACTATCTTGGCTATATCTTCTGGGCCTACTAGGAATATAATATCAGAACCTTGAGCCCTAAAAATGTGGAATAGTATTTTCTTATTTTCTTCAGATCATTTAATATGGCTGGAAACAAGCCACTGGGATAAATGGCCTATGATCTAATCATGATGCTAATAGTAATGTTTTTAAAATGTGTAGCGATTTTGACTGTTTAGGATGTTTCATAAACAACAGCCCTGTAAGGTAGGTCAGTTGCATCATCCTCATCTTCCAGGCATGGGTTAAAGCTGCAAGAGAATGGTTTGTCCAGTAAATTCATAGTAGAGGAGAGAACTGAAGCAGACCTTTTTAAATTCATGCCTTTTAGCCACTGTGTTGCATAGTGGCTAAAAGGCATGAATTTAAAAAGCAGATGCCTTTTAGCCACTATGCTGCATATGTTCCCAAGAAGATTTATTCTCAAACTTCCATGTTCTGGGTATCCTTTGATTCTTGGTATTTAAAGCTAACAGTTCTTGCCATGCCAAATAATTATATTGCTTTGCTGTGATCTGATTGGCAACACTGGCAAACTGCAGGAACCCCCTCCCCCACTTCTGGTCATAATCTCTGCTCTCCCAAACTAGAAATGGATTACTTTAAGCTAGTTGATTTTTGCTCAAAATGTTTTGCTTGTGGTCTTATTTTTTTAATCACTTCCAAAGGCATCTGGATTTACTTGGGGACAGTCAAACAGTCTAATTCAATTTAAGACATCAAAGCAGTAACAGGATGTTGAGAATCAGTGTGTCTTTGCTATATGAGGCAATTATATTCTGTGGCCAGGGCGGTTCAGTGGCCTGGAAGCTCTGGGTTCAAGGACAGTCCTCTGCTTGATCAGGTTCTCCCAGCTTTTTTTACTATCTAGATCTGTGGGGTGATCTGGGTGTAGGAGTACTCTGGAGGCCGTCATAATTTACAAACAGGCTGGTGGCTTTAGGATTGGGTGACATTCTCAATGAGAACCTGATACACAGTTTAGAAGACTAAAGTGTAAAGAAAAGTGTTGTTTTAAAAAAGTCTCCTTACTAGCCATGATAGAAGACAGGAAATTGTTTACAAGATGACAAAAAAATTCTCATTTCCTGGACAGAGCAGTGGATGTTGAAGCTGACTCCAGAGAGTTTTCTACAACAAAACCGTGACATAGTCTTAAGAGATGTCTATTGTTCTGTAAATAGGTTAGCAAAGAGAGAGACTTATGATTAGCCAAAAATATCACCTCTTAGGTAGATGGTAATTAATCACGATGGTGTAAGCGCAGGCCAAACACACTGCCTAGATGGATATCACTTCCGTGTGGTCAGTTGTGGGCACCATGTAACAAGCACGTTACACCCAGAAAACCAACCCTCCTGCAAAGAGTACAGGTAGCAAAAGAGACACATACACTTATTGCATCTGATGGTGTACGTGCATTACCTGGCATCAGGGGTCATTTCGTAGAAAAAGAGGTGCAGGAGCTCATTAGCATAACTTATTATCATAGCTTGTTTGCATATGCCACACCCCCTGGCATCACCGGAAGTGAGTCAGAAGACAACACCCACCGCTCAGGCTCTACTGGACTGTTTTGGATTGCTAAGTAATGGGGGGGGGGACAGGTGCAGATCTGCCCTCACAGAGGAGGGAGAGCTTGTACCTGAATAAAACTTGGTCTTAAAGGTGCCACTGGACTATTTTAGATTGATAGCTATGGGGGGGGGAGAGAACATGCAGATCTGCCCTCACAGAGGAGGGAGAGCTTGTACCTGAAGGTGGGGGGGGGCTCTGCAATTTACCTGGTTGCTTCTTGCTCCTTGTGGCCCAACTGAGGGCTGCTGGGAGCAGGGGACGGGGCTTGCTGCATGTGCCCACCCCCTGGGCTCCTTACTGCCAGAGCGCTCCCACAGGAAATGACCCCTGCCTGGCATGGACATGATATCCGTATGGGTAGTTTGTCTTTTGTGAAACTACCATTAGATTTGCACTTGTATCTTAGAAAACTGAGAACTTGTGCTGTTTTGTACTCTGTTATAGCAGAAGTTTAGGAGGCAGTATACATGCAGTTGAGTATGTATTTTTACTCATGGCTCTGTTGCAAAACAGTTCTTTGAATCTTTGGGTACACACTGGCACATACAGCTTACCTGGTAGCTGGCATTCAGCTTATAAACATATTTTTGAAGACTGCTGCTTGAAAATTGCATACAATTGGGAACTCTTTCTTAACTTCCTCTTCCCTCACATCAGATTTCACTTGCTAGACAATGGCAATACATTTGGTGTCATGAGAATAAGTAATCAGCTCAGAGATGGTTAGTGAACCCAAGCATGGTGTACAGAGCCCTGTGAAGCCACTATTTTGTTCATGGGATCTCTGCTTCCCCACTCCCCACACTGTAGCTGTTAACATTGTGAGGCAAACCCAGGAAATGGCTGAAAAACAACTATTTTAAACAAGTGTTTGGCTAAGATGTCAAAAAGAGAATGTAATATTTAGTACATGCACACAGTGAACAAGATATCACAATGCTACATAGCCAGTCAGATTTGTCCTTGTGCCAATGTCACTGATAGCAAATGAAGTGAAAACAACACTTCTTAAAGAGGTTAAAAAAATCAAAACTGTTGGGGGGGGCTTTGTTGCTGCTGTGAGAAGGTTCTCAAAAACCAGTACATAGTCTTGTATCAGTCCAAGGGTTTGTAGAAAGCACTGTAAGTCCTTTGACTTGGCACATGTATAGTGCAAAATGGACTGAAAAGGGTGTAGTTCTGCTTAGGACTACAATGCTGAAGTAATAAAGGGTAATCTAAGAGAAGTAATGATAACTTTTTTCATCCTATTAATGTATAGGGGGAGGCAACACAATTGAATGTGAACAATTATTCTGCTTGACCCACTTGCAGTAATGTCAGAAGGGCTCCAAGGAAGAAGAAGAAGAAGAGATTGGATTTGTACCCCGTCCTTCACTTGGAGTCTCAGAGCGGCTTACAAACTCCTTTCCCTTCCCCTCCCCACAGCAGACACCCTGTGAGGTGGGTGGGGCTGAGAGAACTCTGACACAAACTGCTCTTTTTCAAGGACAGCTGTGCCAGAGCTTGTGACTGACCCAAGGTCACATCAGCAGGTGCAAGTGGAGGATTGGGGAATCAAACCCGGTTCTCCCAGATTAGAGTCCGCGCAGGGGAGCAAAGAGTGAGAGGAAAAACAGTCCCATTCATCACAAAGGAAATTAAGTGAAGAAATAATTAGGATGAATGAAATGACAGTGCAAGAGCAGACCTCTGGTTTGAGCAGGAATAACAGCTCTTGTCTAGGAGCAATAAATCAGTAACACAAGGATGGACAGTAAGGCCAGATGACCTGTGAATAGATTTACCTTGAAGAGCAATTTAAGGAGTTCTGAATGCAGACGCGAGGGGGCAGTATAACAAGTAACAATACCCAACTGAGGAAGAGCACCTTCTGCCTGGGATGCACAGATTCCACAGTCCACATATGTGGTTTACCACACAGTATATAATGCATGTATTGTTATAAATTGGGTCACATAATTTATGGTGATTTATCATTTGTGTTCCTTACATATGATTGCCTCAAACTGAGGATTTGTTCCCTAACTATATAGCTAGCAGGCTGAGCTCTTCACCTGAGGTAATATCTTGGTTCTTGGTAGCATTCTGGAATAGGGCCCTCCAAGATCTGAATGGTGATTAAACTTGGTAAACTTCATGTTTATGACCTTGTGGCAAATCAGATTTATCTCAAAATCTGACACACTGGAGATCTGTCTATGCAACTTGAGGTATTTGCCCAGCACTGTGGTATAGTACAGTTCTTGAGTTACTTAAT